TGTCATCAAAAATTTATCTTGATCGGGCACGAATCTCGAGGCAAAAATCAAGTTGGAAACTTCAAAAATTAAATTCGAGATCATCTGAACTCCGATTTCAACAAACTTATAGTCGAACTGAGCGTCTCGAAAATACGAGCCCAACGACACCAAATTTAACTCGATTCGAGCCGAAATGGGTCCAAATAAAGGACCCGAAGCGCTTTTGGAAAGTTTGAACCAAATTTGAGTTACCAAACAACTTCTAAACATGACATGCTTATAGTCAAATTGAGCGGCTCGACGAGACAAATCCAATGAGCCCAAGATCATCAAATTATGATATCATTAAGACCTTCAAATATCTAACGAACGATTCAGAATCAAAGGATTCAATATCGACCGTCCATCCGAACCACTCCAGTTTTGCCCTTGATCCTCCTCCTATTTACGGGTCATGCCATCCTCAAAAAACTATAAATAGCCCCTCATTTCTCTTGAGAGGGGACCCAAGCAAGAGGAAGAGAAGAAGCAAGGAGAAGAAGGAAGAAAAGAATAGGAGGGAAGAAACTCCTCCTCGACCAGAAACTCCTCCTTGACCACTGTCGGAATTCCGCCCGACTTCCAAAGTGACGCCGAAATTCCGTCCGACCTTCAAGTGCCGTTGGAGTTTCAACCGAACTCCAAGTGACGCCAAATTTCTATCCAACGACCTTCAAGTGATGCTAACGTTCCACCCGAACTCCAAGTGACGTCGGAATTCCGCTCGACCTCCAAGTGACGCCGGAATTCCGCCCGACCTCCAAGTGACGCTGGAATTCTGCTCGACCTCCAAGTGACGCCAGAGTTTCACCCGAACTCTAAGTGACGCTGGAGTTCTTCCCGAATACCATCTAACGCCAGAGTTCTCCTCGGCCGCCAACTATCGTTGGACTTCTACCCGATGCCGGACCTCCGCTTGTCGCCAAGTTTCTACCTGACGACGGACTTCTGCCTGTTGTTAGACTTTCGTCGGACATCTATCTAATGCTAGATTTATGTTTATTGCTGGATTTCTACCTGGCGCCATTTTTTTGACCTTCGTCGTTAGACAACGGCCCTTATGACCTCCGTTGCCCGCCGACTACGGCCCTTCTGAATTATGTCGCCCACCGACTACGGTCCTTCTGACTTATGTCGCCCACTGACTACAGTCCTTCCGACCTCCGTCTCCCACCGACCACGGTCCTTCCGACTTACATTGCTCATCGACTACAGTCCTTCTGACTAAATTAACATGTCAACAATGACACTTTATATTTCCACCATGTACTTTATATAATGTACAACAAGCCAAGCCCTTCCTCATAAGGAAGGGCCTCATTTATAATCAACTACAAATAATAGTGGATTCATTCAAACTGGGCTAGGCCCCGTGGTTTTTTCCTAGTGAATGCTACACCCTCTCCCTTATTTGATTGTGTGCCAGATTTTCGTACAAAGTTAAGATGTTAAATTTTATATTTCTCTATTGCCATGAATACTCCAGGACACAGCAAGTATGATAGAATGTACAATAAATAATCTATCGAAAACAACTCCTATGCCACAAGGCTTTTCTAACTTCCATCATGGAATTCATTTTGTACAACTTATGTTTATTATATTATATCAATACTTTTCTCAATTACAAGAAATGATATCATATGTAACTAATAACAAACATTAGTGAAATCATTTAAGTTGGATTATATTCTATGTTTTACCCTTTTCCAAAAATTCACGTAAAAACTCTAGCATTTCTTACAATTCTTGTATTCCTATCTTCTCTATGTGTATACTGGATCTTTATATTAAGATGAGACATTAAACTATATATTTCTCTATTACCGTGAATATTTGACATGCAACTATACTAATCATTGATCTTGCTACATAATGCTATAAGGTAAAACTACTATTTGTATAACATGGCTATCCAAATATTAAACTAAATAATCTTAAATTAACAGTAATGTTACATAGTAAAAAAGCTTTTGTTTGAATTTAGTCCAAGTCTCTATCATCATTAAAAAAAAAAAATAACCTTCATTATTCTCCAAAATTATGATCAAATAATTTCCTTATATTTGACCCACTGGACTCATACCTAGAATTATCTATTAAGTTCTCTGCTTGCTGCAGGAGTAAAATTTTTTTTAACTAAAAACCCCCATTAAGGGTGTAATTGTAATTTACCCAGAAGGTTACCATCGGAGCATCATGAAAAGCTGGTCATCCGGTGTTGCAGCGTCGGCCTCTGTTCTGATTCTGGTTCCTCTTGCTCAGGCCAAAAACACGCTTCGCCGTTCTCTGCACAGACAACTAACGAGAGGAGAGTTTCGAAGCTCTTTCCATGGCAGAGAAGCCAGAGCCCGTGCGCGTTCTTTACTGTCAAATGTGCGGTTTGCCGGCGGAGTACTGCGAGTTCGGGCCGGACTTTGAGAAGTGCAAGCCCTGGCTCATCCAGAACGCGCCGGATCTCTATCCTGATCTACTCAAAGGTATCGGAAACCCTAGCTTCCAGTCAATTTAAGTCTTCGATCTTCCGTCGTTTTCTTTTTGCCATCCTTAACTGTTTTTTTTTTTTTTTGGTTAATCTCTTTTTATCCGGGGTTCAGAGGCTAACGATAAACAAGCGGAGAAGGTTGCAAATCAGTTGCAGGCTGTTGGGATTTCGAGCTCGGGCGATGGTGGAGGTGTTCGTGAGGGCCAGGCTGATTCTTCTGGTACTCAACTTATTTTATTCATGGTACAAGCGGTTCCTTTTTCTTAGTCAAAGATAGCATTTTGGTTGGCTTACATGGGGCTTTTGGGTGGCACAGACTTGTCGTAGTTATACTGTACTAGGGTTTTAACTTTTGTTTCAGTAAGAGGATGCAGTAATTCTTTTGTTGAAAGGATAGCCACTTACATGCTGCTCAAATATTGTGTTATCTGGAGAAACCAAAAGGATGAAGGGTTAATTTTGTTCATTAGGAGTTGGAAATCCCAAACTTTCCCTGCCCATTTGATAATATGGAAATCAATGCGCCTGCTTTTGGTAGAATGTATTGCTGCAGAAGTTGTGGGATCATTTAACACCGGCCTTTAAAAAAGAGGTTTCTGAACTTGATGTTGCTACCTTCAAGAGACATTTATAAAAAAAAATTGCCTAAATTGATATGCCGTCCCACCCTAAAAGTGATGGAAATAAGTAAGGGGGATTTTCATACACCTTGAGAAAAAAAATATTTTCAATAGCTACGCTGTTCAAAATTCATGTAGATTTCTTTTATTTTGTTTTGATATGCTTAATATGTATTGGGCAGTGCTGCTTTGCCAAGTAGGCAGTTCTTTATATTTGTCCTTTAGTAAAATCTTCTGGAATTGCTTTGGCTATTCAGATAACAAGCTATTATGCTTGGTCTGTCCCGCTGTGATGAGCATTTTATTTACACTTTAATTATATTGGATTCTTGAGGCTTTGGGGAAGGAAAGATGGAACTTGATGAAGGGGGAAAGCTGAAATAGAAATGCTCAATACAAATTTTGAAGAGATTGGGAATGATTTGAATTCTTTGAGTATTTTATTGATGATCTTGCACTTCTATTTATACACGAGAATACTCCATTATATAATGTAATTTCTACCTATTAAAAGTACTAGTTATATAATGATTATATGAAAATATTCCTAGGATACATCATACAAGTATTTAACCATGTTTATGTATCTGTGTCTATGAAAATAAAATAAGATATTCAATGGCTTGCTAGCATTTACTTCACCCAAACCCTATGAGGGATTTTCACCCAAAACCCACATTGATGTAGAACTAAATGAATGCACAGACGTTGTAAAATTGGAAATTACACATTTATGAGCAGAACCCTGAAAATTAATTAACGTTCAACGTGCTAAAAAAAGAATTAAGCCAATGAGATAGTGATTAGACTTCAACAATCAATTACATGATAATAGGAGAATCACAACATAATCAAGTCAAATAATTTCATGCTTAATGCGAGGTTACAAAGATAATCCCTCAATTAACAATTAGAGTAGTCACTACAAGACCTGCTCACACACGCTCTTAATATGGGCTTTGCGGATTAGTCTTCATAATGAAATGAAGCAATGATTGAGGAGTTAAAGATATAAGGTTAGGAAGAGAGTTTACCATCCTTTATTCCTGGTTCTCGTTCTAACATCTTATGGAATCTGGTCGTCGGATGTTCGAGGTTGCACCTTGAGACAAGTAAGCCTTGTATTCAACAATGGGTCAAAGCTTTGGGGCGAGTGTATGGAAGGGGGAAAACACTTGCTTGATATTTCTTGCCTAAGGGGAAAATAAACAAAAGAGAGTCATATTGGAGGATTTATGCCATGGAGGGACTTTATCCCGTTTGTGGTTATTTAAGAAGGGTATAACAACAAAATCTGAAATTAATTCCAACAATTAGGAGAAAATTGGAATTAATTTCTTGCTTAGATGGCTTGTGGAATTAAAGCAAGAATCAATTAGAATTGATTAGAATTTAATGGCTGCTGTAATTGGGGTGGTTGATTGGAGAGAATTAATTGGAAGGAGCACATAAGGAAGGAAATAAAGAGGGAAGAGTTGTGGTGGGGGATTGATTTGGGGACTTAATGGAGTTGCCAATCATAGCCCACTAGTTAAGGAAAGTAGATTTATGACAATTCTCCATTCAAAATTCAAATGGGTTGATTGGGGGGAAGTTTACTATCATGGTTCCTCCTTTTTTGGAAAGGAACTTCATATTTTAAGGGCTCTAATATTATGATGCTCTAAAATTTGAAAGTATTGAAGGATCAATTTGAAATTTGAAATTTTGGAGCCAAGGGATGGTCGGCGGTAATGAGGGAGGTGAGTCGGTGGTTAGGTGCCGGCCAAAGGGAGGGTCGACGACTATGGGGAGGGAGGGGGTTCAGTGGCTTGGGATCGACCAAGGGGAGAGCCAGCAGTTATGATGGAGGTGGGCGATTGGTTGGAGCTTTGGGGAAGATGAAGGTGGGGGTGAGATTGTGAGGAGAGGAGAAATCGGCGGTGGTGATAGGCCGTAAGCCCGGACGCTTCCTACAGCTGACAGATCTTGCTTGGTCCTCACCTAGGGGCTTCACATAAACTCTCACAAGATCTCTCAAAACTCACTAAGACACAAAGTGCAGGAATTTCATTCATCATCATCCCCCTCCCAAAGAGGAGGTGAGGTCTATAAATACACAAAATACAATAAAATATCAAATGACAAAAGTCCCCCCTGGGGTCATATAAGCCTACTCCTTCAAGTTAGGGTAAAAAGATAAAAAATACTTAATAAAAATCAAATACAAATAAATGCTCAGAAATAAAGTAGTTCAATCATAGCCGTAGATCTCCGGCCCCTTCTCTGATAAACTTTTCACGGTCGGATGTCCTCATCACACATATTCCTGATCGGATCACCAGCTTATAATCCCATGGATTGCCAAGCTGGCCACAAGGAAGAAATTATTCAACACTTAGAGCAGATACTTTTTATGTTTAACTTGGAGATGATATTATGGAACGTAGAGCTTGATAGTCCTTTAGTTAGGATATCAACCAACTGCCTGTGTGATTGGACCTATGGGATACTTATTAATTCCTTTTTAAAATTTTTTTGATGAAATGTAGATAGCTTTTTATGTGTGTGGATCAACCATCTTGAATTGGTTTGTGTGTGACATTAATAATTGATTGTTTACTGTTGTATCACTTCATAGTATCATTTCATTTTATTTCCATGTCATTTAGGATGATTTTGATCTATAATAGTTTACAGATTTCTTAAGCCAATTCTCAAAATTCTGTTTCAACACTCAATTTGGCGACTACTGATTGCTCCTTGCTTCTAGTATTAAATTTTGACCTAAGTCTAGTAACCAGGAGTGTATTTTATGTTTTTGAGGGATTCCAGCCAATCAATATTGATGTATGCTTCTAGGACCGTCTCTTTTATTTCTCTTAAATAATATTTCTTTTTCTAAGTTTTATTGAGGTGTTGAAGGGTTCTATGCACCATCTGTAGATGTGCCTCTTTAGGATTATGCATGAACTGGCTTATGAAACTTTTAATATAGGCAATGTTTGATCATGTGTTGGCAGGATGAATAAGCTTCTCATTCAATTTTTGATGCATTTCTTTGTAAATTTATGGGTTGTCGGTTGGCTCTCCAAGTTTATGGTATTAATTAATTGGAACTTTGATATGCTTCTTGATTGAATTAAAAAAGGATAGAACTCCTTTTGAGTAGGTGGAAACGTCTAAGGAAAGAAGAAGAGGAAAAAAGAGAAGGGGAAGAGGGTAAAGAAAATTTTATTTCTTAAACATTGATTACAGCAAGGGGGTTTATTTATAGGCTTAAACAAGTGAATAGAAAAGGGTCAACTGTCTAAAGATAATAATAATCAAGTTTACAATAATAACCTGGATGTTATTGGTTTGTTTCTAATAAAAACCATAGGTTGGTTCAACCCTTAGAATGCTCTCTGGATCGTCTGCACACTATTAGCTTTGAATTATTGTCTTGAGCTTGTTCTTTTGAGTTGTGGATCCATTTTTCTCATTATTTTTGTATTGTATTTGCATTCAAAAGAATGTAGTGGTGCTTAACACTTCCATCCCCAAAAAAACTAATCTTTGTTGTCAAGGTTGGGAGAGTTAAAAAATTCTCCCAAGTGGCGTCCTCTGGAGTAGAAAGTGTTCATTATAAAAGCATCTGTTTAAGAGGTTGTCCATGTTTGGTTATAATGTGGGTAGCGAGTATGGCATGAGGTAGGCCTAGTGGTTGGTTGTTATGACTAAGAAGAGGAAGAGGTGTAATGGTTGTGGGAGGAGTGCCAAAAAAAAGATTTGAGGACGGGGATATAGAAGACTAGATGAATCTTGCTTTTTGGAGGAAGAGCTAGTTGATATGCCACTAGATTGATAATTGATTGAACTTGAAAGGGGTCAAAATAACATTTAGCTAGTTTGGACTATGTACGGTTAACTACAGAATTTTGATGAAAATGTTGTAATTTTACCAAAACCTAATTTCCTATTGATAATTGTAAATCACGTCGATGATGAGCAACCATTAATTTCATTCTATGTTGGGCTTGCTGCATGTCAGTGTGGAGAATTTGTAAAAGAGTCGGTTGGTTAATAAGGAATCTAGAGTATTAATGTTTGGTGTGCTGTTAACATGTGAAGGTATTGAAGGTGGTAAATGTACATAGAGTGCTTGATATGGAAACATCTTAATAACTATGTGAAAAGAGGTATTATAAGAGAGTTTGTCCTGGAAAAGGCAGGTAGACCATAATTTGGGCGTGTTGGAAGTGTAGGCATGAAGGTATTGTTTCAAACATGTTTTTAGGACCTTGATTTGGACATCTATTTTTGGATGATAAGCAGTGCTATAGTGGAGTGTCGTACCACTTAAATTAAAAAGATGACATTAAATTTTCTTAAAAAATATTATCCCTATCTGAGACAATAAATTTTTGGAGACCATACAAAAGCACAACCATATTGGCAAATTGAGTGGCAACTTGGGAGGCTGAATATGTGGTGAGCAAGGGACCAAAATGGGTTTATTTGAAAAGACGATCAATAACAACTAGTATAGTAATGTAACCACTAGAATTTGGTAAACCCATTGTGAAATCCATAAACAAATTCTCCCAAACTTGATAAGGTACTGAAAAGGAGGCCAACA